CTAATATTTTTAACAGAACTGTATTGTGCTCCCGAGTCAATTCGCAAGTACCAAAAAAGTTTCTTCGCGCTACAAAATACGAACATGGCAAATATTTGACAATAGTCTGTCGTCGTTATAGATTGCGCAACACAAATTAATAATACCAAAGGCCTATTGTTTTCATACCGTCACCGAGGTCAAGTTACAAGGACTTGTTCAGTGCAAAATAAACTTCAATCCAAGGACGTAAAGTTTTAAATCGCTTGAAAATAATTCAAGTAGTTTGACTAACGTAAGGACAATCGTTGATTTATGAGTAAACTTGAACTCTACAGTCAGATAACCTCTAAACAGAAATATTTTAAACATCGATAAGTTCTTAATATTTCATTTATAGTTAGTTTTTTTAATGTACTTAGTACTAATTAGGTCGTATAATATTTTTCAATTAGATATTTTCGTTTGACAGTATTGAGAGGGAGCAAAAACTCGCACATTATTTGCAAACCACTAACAATAATTGCTCGTTACATTATTTTTCAAACAGTCCTCTATTTAAAAAATAAATAATATTACTTCTGAATTATTTCCGAAATTTTCCTTTTAAAAACACCTGAGGTCCTAGCACGAATATTTGCGATACTCGCCTTCATATCGTCATCGATAAAATGTGTCCAAATTTGCAGTTTTTTACACCCGGAAAGAGCACTATACTAATTTTAATAAGACATATTTTGTTACGAAAACGTTCTCAAGAATATTCGTGGTAGTCTCTCTGATCAGTTATCAAAAACCGTAACAAAAACAATTAATTACAAGTCTGTAACACAAATACTAGTTTTACTATCCTTAGGAGATGAATAGAGTTTGATTACTAAAAATAGTAAGTAGGACTAGGACATACGCGTGGTTTAGTGACCTTAACTTACACCAGCTGGTGATGTAAATAATAAATATTACTTACATATTAACATTGACCCACTTTTATTGACCAAAGCTATCATAATTAGTAGTAAAAAAGTACACAAGTTTGTTCTATTAAGTATTACTAAGTAACGCTTGTACAAAAATGTTTAGTACCTCTGTTTTTCAAACATAATAAGAAATATGTTTTCCAAATATAATACCTTTCATGCTTCCATCATACAGGGTATCCCCCTAGTTTGGACACCAATTCCCTGCCAGTAGGGAAAAATAATAACGTAATTTTATTTTTTATTTCTTTCGTGCATGTCTTTTCGGGGTGGAAACTCACCCGCTCGTAAGACTTTTAACAATATTATAGTGCATTAATGATTCCCAAAGTGATCGAAACTTCCAGGGTTACGCGGAAGGTCCAGCGATGTACAATAGTAGAGAAAAATTTACAATTTGCAGAAGATAAGCAATGTTCAAAGCAGTATAATAAGGAATGAGGAGTGAAAAAAGGTTGAGAACCTCTGGTTTCGATACAAAGTCACACATTAATTCTGTGCCATGTTTGTATCGGGATGCATAATACCAGGTGTTCTAATATACATTTACGCAGTTCCATCTGAACTGGAATATTAAGCAATGCAATACTGTATTGTAAATCCGTCATCCCTCGAGCAGGCCCCTTGATGTTAATTTCAAAGTCTTGGGACGTGTCTTTGAATCATAATTAAGTCATTCTTATATCAACTTTATAAATAAACTTCAATAAACATACTCTTAGCAAAGGATATGTAGATTATACGAACGAATCATCTCTAAACGACTAGGGTTGCCAAATCGCCAAAATATCCGGACAGACCAGCCAGTTTAGCCGGACATTTGGGTAGAAAAGCCGGACTCCCTACATTATTGTGGAGCACTTCGGTCTGCGTGAGCGACCGTTAGTCGACTCTCATCACCTGCGCCACTCTCGTTTGCAATATGTAAAAGCCTAACAAAAGTCGCGCACCCCGGACACCGTTTATTTTAGCCGGACACGCAATGAAAAATCCTACCTATGTCCGGCTTTATCCGGACGCCTGGCTATATACGAGTTATCTAAACCAATATAGTATAATTCTTCGCGGGGATAATATGTTACGTGTCTGGTTATATTCGCGTGTTAAGTATGTTTTAATTTACGCGCGTTTGTATGTCAATTTTAGCCTAAAGAATTGAAACAATATTGGTTAGTGAGGTGATTCGAGGCATATTCTTTCACGAAATGAATTAGGAAGGGATACAGTTAATCGGGATTTTTTGCTCTAGTTATTAGCAGTGTAAACCCAGTGTTACATTGTACACTCGATGAGCGACATATCGAATCATATATCAACATAAATAAATCTGATCAATGTTTAGACAAGTATCCAATTATAAAGCATTGTAACATGCTAGGAATGTGTTAATCGTCCATTGTTCAGCATTCTGATGCTTCTATTGAATATTTATTATGGCAATAACCACACTAAAAGCATGATCAGATGACGACAGCCGCGTATCGTCGTCCAGATTACAAACAATCAACTATTTTAAATATCATCAATCAAATATATAAATAAACATATAAATACACAACTTCAACGTGCGTTACAATACGATCGAAAATAAATGCAATGTTTTCATTTATTAAATATTCCATTCAGTCTTTAGTATGATGTTTCAACCAATTCTTTAACGTATGAATTTACGCGAAACCCAAACATAGTAAAAAGTAAAATATGTCAACCCTAAAAAGTCTATATGTGTGTTTAAAAAAAGGTTAGGTTAATTGCATTGTTTTTAGGTTGTATGGAACGGCCGTCATATTATAAAACGGCATAGACTAAATAAAAAAATATTTTATTACATCTGTTTATATAATGGCCATAGTTTAAAATAACAAAAAACCTAGTCATGTCTCATTTCAAAAGACAAAACATCACTCGCTATCTCTTTCTAACAAAATAGCATATTTTATGTGAATTAAATAGTTTGAATGTATAATTTTTATAAATTAGTTTTTTTTAATATGTGCCAAATTTATTGTAACATGCCAAAATCTACAGCAACAATTATATTCTTTTTTTTTCTTCTCATAACTTATAATTTTCAAGACATTATGTACCAACATAACTCTGACATAGTAAAATTTAACTCCAGTTAACCATATTATGACCATGGGTTTCTGAGACCAAAAACCCCACTTAATGCAATTTCATATCTCTGTTTTGTCTAATATAGCGACAGGGACAATGTTGTGGTTTAAACAGAGATTTTGGTCTCAGAAACCAACACTAAGTTAACTCAGAGTATTTAATCCTCTTTGATAAACCCGTTAATATTTATATAATTAAATAAAAATAATGTTTAATTCCTAGTTTTTCAAAATGGTTTTCATGAATAAACAAGCAAATCTTTTCAGTTATTTGCTTAAAACAATTCTCAAATTTATGAATTATGTTTAACATTTATATTATATATATTAACTTATAAAAAATAAAGCCAATAATTAACTTTAAAAAATATAAAGAATTGTTGAGATAATGCTCAAGTTTCAAAGCTCCAAAATACAAATATAATTGAAGATTTATTTGAAATGAATTTTAGCGAAAATTTCATAAACTTTAAGGAAAAAAACATATATGGAAGTTAAAAAATTTGAGAATAATCTTTTATGGAGAGGAGAACAAGGCATAACTTAACAATATAAAAATGTTAGAAATATATTATCTTGGTTGACTTAATTACAATAAAAATATTTTTTTAAATCCTACTTCAATAAATAAATCTGTGCCTTACAACTATGACTTACATAAGTTAATATACTAATTGTAATGAGTTACTTTTATTGAAAAATAAGTGCAACATTAAATGCGTGGTAGTTTTCGTAATATTGTCAGTGATAGTAATAGATGGAAATCATGAATAAAACACAAATCACTATGATAAAATCTTAAATTAAATGTTTCGTTAATTTCATATTTACAATATGTAAACTGTGATCGCGCTAGCAATTTTTTAAATTAGGTTGGAAAAAATTAATTTCGACTCGCTGCCACAGTGAATTTAAAACGTAAATGGAAAGTATTGTAGTAAGGAATATATCAGTTGGGTAATTGTAGTTAAGAGTATTTACCTTCATGTCCGATACGATTTGCTGGTACAGGTTCCATAAGGGAGAGCAATCCTTCTCTGTTGTTCCTTCCATTGTCAAAAAACACTTATCAAACACAATAAAACACAAAAACACGATCGAAATCACCTCGCGCAGTACATTATGGTGGAACCGCTACTAGTATCCAACTGTTGCATTGCCGTTAAATATCTAGTTGCACACGTTCAATTGCCTACATTTCACTATGCAATCACAATGGTAACAGTTCAAAATATGATATGCAACAAATCAATATTTATAAACAAGAATACCCTCCATTAATCGAAACAGGGGAAGAAAATGCCGTATCGCGATCAAATAACACTCTTAATAACTGTAGCGTTGCAACTGAGTATTATTTTTGAACATTTTGTCACACGTTCATTCATGAAAATTAGTTTTTGGCATAATTTTCATACACAAAACATACAATTGATAACTAAAACGGCGCTCAACTTCGCTTACAGGGGAGCGACAAGCACATCAGCCGAATTCGGTTTGTTTGGCTGCTTTCTATACTTCGCTACGATTCGTCAATTGATTCCTTTGGTTGCCATTGAAAAAAAAATCTACCGAGGCAGGTAGCTTTATTTTGACAGTTTTTCTCAGTTTTACTGGAAAAGACTATATTTTTTAGTTTAATTAAAAATCAATCAAGAAAAAGAAGTGAAAGGTTAATTTCTTAGACAAAGGATTGAGGAAAGTAACTGAAAGTAACCTACAATTTGCTATACTATATAATTTGCTACACTTTTAGATGATTCAATTATTTTACTATTTATTATTTACCCAAAATAGTACAATTTTAAATCTTGTAAATGGAGAAACTAATAAATAGAAATTATTATGAATGGAATATGAAATATCCAACGGAATAGTTGATAATTATATAATCTAGAACAAATGTCAAAAAATGACAAGTGGCGACTGGCAACAAGTTCGTTTTAAAAACGATTCTGCGGGAATAATGTTTTTTTATCAGTTATCAGCTATAAACATACAAATTATTGGGTATTTTATAAGCAAATTTGAAGGAAATTCATAAATCTGTAATAATGTCAAAAGTTTTCAATAACGAAGGTATAAAAGCCGGTTGCATTTACAGGATAGCCCTCGAGAATTTTGTGTAAGTTTTATGAAGTTTTGGCGCGCCAAGACGATCTATCCTTCTTACTTAAACTTTTTATTTAAAAAGTATAATTTTTTTTATTTCAGGACATACAAACAAGTCGTGCTATATCCAAGTCAGTCATTAAATTTGATAATCGGGCCCAATGGTACTGGAAAATCAACTTTTGTTTGCGCAATAATTTTGGGTCTTTGCGGCAAAACCAGTGTTATTGGACGAGCTAAAAAGGTTTGTACCTAAGTTAAAAACATTAAAGGAAATTATAATACAAATGATTATAATAGGAACTAACCAACGCTTTATCATCAAGTTCCTAATTTTGATAATAATATATGCGACATTTGAGTTGATTCATCGGGCAAAAGAGCAAAGCTTACGGCAATTATCGAGTTTTGCTGAGTGTCCCCTCTGTCGCACAATGCTCTTATGAACAAATCACTCGTGTAACCCAAAAGATTGGACAGAGATTAAAGTTTTCCATTTGGTGTGGTCCTGCCACACCTTACTCACCTCTTCAAAATTCATACATCTCCACAGACATATTAGTTAGGTATTATGGGTATAGAAATGAAGCAATGCTCTTTTGTATTTTAATTTCACTATATATTTTCAATATGTTAGATTTCAGAGTATGTAAGAAGTGGATGTGAGGAATCTACAATAGAAATAGAGCTATATAGAAATTCCGGTGAAAGAAATGTTATAATAACAAGAAACTTCAATCTCAGAGATGTCTCTACATGGGCGATAGATCATAAAACAGTTAGAGAGAAACAAGTACTGGAGTTAATAGCATCTTTAAATATACAGGTAATTGAAAAAGTCTTACTTCCAACTCCTTACTATTATTTACTCTATGGCTAAATTAATACTTTACTATATAAACATCTTACCAATATTAAAAATGTGAGAGTTTATGTGGATGGATATATGTTTGAAGGTATCTCTCTGGAATGGCTCAATGGATCTTAAAGGCAAGAATACATAGGCTACTTAATACGTTATTTTTTTAAATTCCTAAAATAATACTTCTTTTGTTCTAAATTAGTACTTTTTGAAGATGAAATCCATTCTGGTTATAATATTTAGAATAGAAACATGGAAAAATATTCCCTTTGACATAAACCCAATTCTTAATATTAAACCTTCCAGGTCGACAATCTCTGTCAGTTACTACCACAAGACCGTGTACAGGATTTCTCAAAGATGAATCCACAGGAGCTGCTCCGTAGTACATTATCTGCGGTGGGCGGGCAAGAGAGTGTAGCACAACTGGACGAATTAATAGAGTGCAGGAATAAACATAAAGGGTTGTCTACTAAAGTACAGAATAATGCGCAGTTATTGCAAGAACAGATTCGTCTTAATGAAAGGTATGTTAAATATTAACAACTAGCTCTTGCCTGCGACTCTGTCCGCTCGGATCCAATAAAACTTAATAAGTAGCCTATATGTTCTTCCAGACTATGTTCTACATGTGTGCCAAATTTCATTGAAACTTGTTAAGAAGATGTAAAAGTTTAGATGGATGGATGGATTTATTAGGTATCTCTACAAAACTGTAGACTGTAGAACATAAGTGGGACTAACTAGGCTACCTATGATCCCGGAAATGTGTATTTTCTCTATTATGGAGGTTGTTCTTCGGAACTGGACAATAACTCTTGCTTATAGAGGTTTCTCACGTATCCACTGTATAAGTTAATGCAAAGCCAAAGTTGGAAGGTATCTCCGGAACGACTGTTTGGATCATGCTGAAATTTTGCATAGATGTAGAACATAGTCTGCAAGAGCACATAGGCTACTAATTAAGTGTTTTTTTTAATGATAAGTCGATGAAGATTCGGCCGATTACTAGCTAAATGTAAATACAATTGGTAATATTTAAATTACAGGTCATAAGAGTATGATTTACTGATACAAAAAAACTTTTTTAATCAAACAATTCTTCATATAAATATAGAGCTTTCTCAATAAGCAATGATATTAATGTATTTTTTTAAATGATGAATATTTAGTTATTATAGGAGCTATGTTTTGTATCTATCTCGTAGTTTAAGTATCTTCTATGAAAAATATATATGTAAATTATTTTCAGATTAAAAACAATAATAGATGGTATGCATCAGAGGAAAGAGATAGAGAAACAAATAGAGATTTGTGAGAAGAAGAAACTCTGGGTGGAATATCAAACACTTAGAGAACAAGTAATAGAGTCGGAAAGAGATAAGAAAGAGGCGATCAAACTTGTTAACACGCATAAAAGTAAAATGGAACCATTAGAAAAGGTCATTGATAAAGCTAAAGTGGGAATTAGTAAATTGGAACAAGAAAAATTATCAGCTGTAAGTATTTGATAAAGCCTTAACTTACACCTTACACTAAAAGTTGGAAAATCCACAATATTAAAAAAGTACATTAAAACAGCAGCTTTTTATACAATACTAGCTGTCGCCCGTGACTCCGTTCGCGTGGATATATAAAAAACTATTAGTATACCGTCCACCCACTCACCCGCCCATCCATACATCCACATCACATCTATCTAAACATTCGCATTTATAATATTAGTAAGTTAAATAAAAAGCAGCTCTTCATGGCATAAATCCGAAAAAAATGAATAAATAGTATCCTATGTCCGTCTCCTGGGTCTAAGCTACCTCCTCATCAATTTTCAGGCATATCAGTTAAGCCTTTCTTGAGTTATAAATAGTGTTACACTAACACAGCTTTCTTTTATATATATAGATTATTTATTTTTATGGCACTCTTCACAAAATATGAACGTAATGTATGGTTTTTGACAAACCTCTATTTACTGTGGGTTTCTGAGACCAAAATTTCTGTTTAAAATATATTTTTATCTCCGTTCTATCAAATGTTAAGGATGATAATATGTTTTTTTACATAAATTTGAGTATTAGAAACTCACGGTTAGATAATTAATTGAATTGAGAATCTTTCTATGAATATGCAGAAATTTTACTAAAATCTTATTTCTTACTAATACTATGAATGCGAAAGTTTAAATGGATAGATGTATGTTTTTGTGAAGGTTTCTCCGGAACGGCTGCATGGATCTTTATAAAATTTGGCATAGATGTAGAACATAGTCTGAAAGAACACATAGGCTACTTATTAATTTTGTTTTTAATTCCGCGTGGACAGATTCGCGGGCGACAGCTAGTTACTATATTCTTTTTTTTTACAGAACCGTGAAATTCATTCATTAAAAGACAGTATAAAGGAAGCGATCAGTTCTGCCCGACAACAAGAGTACTCATTGAAAGATCTGGAAGCGACACTACAAGAGAAGTTGGAACGACATCAGAATAAAGAGAGGGAGTTACTTGAAGCTAATGCTAAGTTGGAAAAGTTGAGGAATGATAAGAAAATGTTAATTGAAAAAATCGGAGATGGTAAATTTTTTTATTATATTATAATGTTACTTCTTACTAATATTATGAATGCGAATATTTATTTAAGTGGATGAATGGATCTTGATGAAACTTTATATAAAAATAGAACATAGTCTGGAAGAACACATACCTTACTATATATATACTAATTCCTTTTTTTTTAACTCCTTGTGAACGGAGTGGCGGGCGAGCGCTAGTTATGTTATAAATTTTTTAAACTAAGTATCTTGTGAAGTTATAAAAATTGACAGAAAATAGATTGCTTCAAAATTCTCAAAAAAAACAAAATTATATTACACTAGTTGTCGCCCGTGGTTCCGTCTGTGGGGAATTTAAAAAATAAATATAATTAGTATATGTATAATGTGGCCGAGGATCGTGCTCAGTGGCGTGCCATGGGAGAGGCCTATGTCCAGCAGTGGACTAGTATAGGCTGATGATGATGATGATGATGTATAGCAAATTTCAGCTGGATCCATACTGCATCTAAAAATCTAAAAATTGGCAACAAAAAAAAATTTTTTTTTTGAAAATCAGAAATCTATGTTTTTTTTTAATCAATATTTTCAGAGACACAAATAAAAATGGAACTAGCAGAGTTAGAAAAGCCGATAGCATTAAACAATGCGACAATAGAGAGATTCAAGAAACACAAGTTAGAATTACAGTATGACCTTGAGAATAATATCAAACCACAAATAAGATTGTTCCAGAACAAGTAAGTTATTGAATTATTCAAACTTTCGTGAGACATTATACTAAACTGATATATAAACACGGCTAAACACTCACGTATATACGTCCGGTGGCGGCACCGACTAGTTTCGAGCTCATCGGGGGCCCTTCATCAGGATGAGTGGCACTGGTATTATTTCGCGCGCCTGCGCTCTTAGGGCGCGTCTTGAGGGAGC